CAAGCACGCTTAACTGCGGAGTTCTGATGGGATCTGGTGCACTGGTGCTGGTATGGTCGCAAGTAATAGAAAAATTATCATCGCCAATGGGTCTTTAGCTATCGTTGCAGGGATTGGTGATATAAATATCACTCCTAGCCTTATCCTGAAAAATGTTCTCCATGTACCCAAACTGTCAACAAACCTTGTGTCCATTCAAAAATTGACTCATGATCTCAAATGTTATGTTGTTTTTTTCCCTTCTTAGTGTGTTTTTCAGGAACAGGACTCGGGGAGGAGGATTGGACTTGCTAAGGAAAGGAGCGGTCTTTACCACCTTGAACCATCTCAGAAAATCAGGAGCAATTTGTCCTCATCTTTCCTTAATTCCTCAACAAAGATGTCATTTGGCTGTATCACTTACGCCTTGGTCATCCATCTTTTAGAGTTCTAAATATAATGTTTCCTCATTTATTCCAAGGATTAAATATTTCTGAGTTTCATTGTGATATTTGTGAATTAGCAAAACATAATCGTGTATCTTTTCCTATTAGAAATAAAAGAAGATGGGATCTGGTGCACTGGTGCTGGTATGGTCGCAAGTAATAGAAAAATTATCATCGCCAATGGGTCTTTAGCTATCGTTGCAGGGATTGGTGATATAAATATCACTCCTAGCCTTATCCTGAAAAATGTTCTCCATGTACCCAAACTGTCAACAAACCTTGTGTCCATTCAAAAATTGACTCATGATCTCAAATGTTATGTTGTTTTTTTCCCTTCTTAGTGTGTTTTTCAGGAACAGGACTCGGGGAGGAGGATTGGACTTGCTAAGGAAAGGAGCGGTCTTTACCACCTTGAACCATCTCAGAAAATCAGGAGCAATTTGTCCTCATCTTTCCTTAATTCCTCAACAAAGATGTCATTTGGCTGTATCACTTACGCCTTGGTCATCCATCTTTTAGAGTTCTAAATATAATGTTTCCTCATTTATTCCAAGGATTAAATATTTCTGAGTTTCATTGTGATATTTGTGAATTAGCAAAACATAATCGTGTATCTTTTCCTATTAGAAATAAAAGAAGTTCTCATCCTTTTCATCAAATTCATAGTGACATATGGGGTCCTTCCACTATACCTAATGTTTCTGGGGCTCGTTGGTTTGTATTCTTAATTGATGATTGCACCCGGGTTACACGGCTCTTTCTTCTTAAACAAAAATCTGATGTTAGCTCAGTTATACCTAACTTCCATTCAATGGTTCAAAATCAATTTGGGGTCAAAATAAACAGCTTTAGGACAGACAATGCTAGAGATTACTTCAATCAAATTCTTTCACCTTATTTTCAATCACAGGGGATTATCCATGACTCATCATGTGTGGACACACCCCAACAAAATGGGGTAGCTGAAAGAAAGAATGGGCATTTACTCAACACCACCCGAGCCTTACTCTTTCAAGGGAATGTTCCTAAGTCCTATTGGGGAGAAGTCGTTCTTACTGCCACACACATGATCAATAGACTTCCCTCCCATGTGTTAGAAAACAATAGCCCCATAAAGGTCCTAAATAGCTTCTACCCTCACTTCAGAACCTCAAATGGCCTCACTCCTAGGGTATTTGGGTGTACTGCCTTTGTTCATGTCCACAAACAACATAGAGGGAAGCTAGATCCCAGAGCCATCAAATGTGTTTTCCTAGATTACTCCTCCACTCAAAAGGGATATAAGTGTTACAATCCCTCTACCAGAAAATTTTACATCTCTGCAAATGTCACTTTCACAGAAAATAAATCCTTTTTTTTCCAAGTCATTTCTTCAGAGGGAGATTTCCATGATGGAAAATAGTACTTGTGATCCCTTTGAACCACTTAAAACCCTTGAACTTCCACATGTGCCAGCCCGGGTTGTTGAACCTAGATCAAACTCTTCTTCTATTCCAGCTGAACCCGAGTCCTCTGAACCAATCACATCTGAGTCACTTGATCCTGAACCCTTATCATCTCCTACTCCAACCAGTGTCACTAATGATTTCTCGAGATTTCCTCAGGTATATTCAAGGAGAAAGGCCGATCCTGAACTGACACAAGTCCAAGAATCAAATCCACTATATCCACTATGCATCTCTCAAGCGCCTATCACCAGCCTACAAAAGATTCATTGTGAGTTTGAACACCATTGCCATTCCTAACAATGTGTCTGAGGCATTGACAAAAAAAGAATTGAGAGACACTATGAAAAAAGAAAGGAGTGCTTTAGAAAAGAATAAAACATGGGAGATCGTTGACAAACCAAAGGAAAAAAACATTGTTGAATGCAAGTGGATTTTTACATTAAAGTACAAGGCTGATGGATCGCTTGAAAGATATAAGACAATGTTAGTAGCCAAAAGGTACACTCAGACTTACGGGGTGGATTATCAGGAAACTTTTGCTCCAGTTGCAAAAATGAACACTAAAGTTGCAAAAATGAACACTGTGAGAATCCTGTTATCATTGGCTGCTCACTTCAATTGGCAACTGCTACAGTATGATGTAAAGAATGCTTTCCATCATGGTGACCTAAATGAGGAAATCTACATGAAAATCCCTCCGGGAGTTGAAGGAGATACAGGTAAGAAGGTGTGCAAGCTGAAAAAAAGCCATTTATGGGTTAAAGCAATCTCCTAGAACATGGTTTGACAGATTTGCAAAAGTCATGAAGGAATCTGGGTATAATCAAAGCCAAGGTGACCACACTCTTTTCATTAAACATTCAGCTGCAGGGGGAGTGACCATTCTTTTATAGACTATGTGGACGACATCATAATGCCTGAAAATGATGAGAAAGAGAAGCATGAATTGAAGCTGAAACTAGTAAAAGAATTTGAAATTAAGGAGTTGGGGAAATTGAAGTTTGTCCT